TTTTACAGCACTTGCAACACGATAAGGTCACATAAGTTTGAGATGTTTGGGTGAGATAGAAGGTCGTGCGTTTGGACTTCTCTGTTGACATTCACCCCTGGGTGCTCTTACGACCTTATACAGTTGCGAGCGCCGTAAAACCTTACTAAAACTAAACTAAAAAAAGAAGGGGTGCGAGCTGGTATATGACGGTGTTGGCTTTTTGAGTTAGCATTTCTAATGCTCTGTCGATTGACCCATTTTCAGAAAAAGTGCTGTCAAGATATTTGAGCTCCTTGACCAGTTTTTGCTGTTTACTGCTAACATGAATGTTCAGGGGACTACGGTTTTGGCTAACTTTCATAACTTCTGGCATTGATACCTATTACTAGTGCTGCTATTTCTGTACTTCCAGGGACCCCCCGTTGACCGAAACAAACCCCAACAATGACGCCGAGGCGCCGCGGAGTGATACCGAGCCTGCCAACACCGGAAACGGGGACTACTTAGTTATGCAGGGAGAACCTGAATACTCAAACGCCAAGACTTAGATCTAATCACTCAGGACTCGTTGGCGGCATTGGTTGGATTAAATCTAGAGGAGTGTTGTCCATCTACATGCATAGATATGTTCCGGGCTATTTACTGATCGGCGAATTAAGATTGCGCTGCGCGTTTTAATGATCGTATACTTGCGCGGCAATCTGAAGAGCTCACAAGAATGATACAATGCCAGGCATCAGACTCAAAGTTTGCAAAGTACATTTTTATTTATTATACATTTTTGAAATAATTTTTTTTAAAAATCACTTCCATCTTATTCTTTTACTCGCAGTAAGGAACATTCACATACTATAATTTTCAAAAGCATAAAAATATCAAAAGTAAAATTAAAATTAGAATTAAAATTAATGTATGAAACTGAAGAGCTCGCAACAATGATAAAAGGCCAGGTATTAAACTCAAAGTTCACAAAGTGCATTTATTATAATATATTTCATATTTTTGAAATAATCCAAAAATA